GATGTGGCCAGCTTGCGGGAAAAAATCCCTACAAGGTCTAAAGTGAAGATTACGATGTAGAAAAACGAGCGAGCTTCTTTTAGAGTGGCTCTTCCAACATATCCAACGTGTTCCTGCTGTGTGTGTGTGTGTGTGTCTGGGCAAATGTCCCACACTAATTGAAGTCTTATTTAAGGGCATCACCAAGCTAAATGTTCCACAAGCGTTGAATGGGGTAGGCCTGGCCCTCATTTATCTCTCTGCAGAAACTACTTTGTCAAACCAGCTCTCTGTTGCTTCCAGCAACTCTGAAAACAGGATAATAAATAGTCCGCGCTGAAAATCATTAATCAAGAGCGAAGTCCGTTGGAACTACAGAGGCGGCTTCCTTCCTGTTATTATTTCAGCCTGTGGATCACCCTTGCTGGGGTAGGCAGGCCGAAAGAGACGTTGGACAATTTCCTTTTCCCCTCGGAAGACAAATTATCGTTTTCAAGAGCTTCCCCATCCTCCCCAAGCCCCAAAGTGACCACTAAGGACCTGGTTTCCCCCTGCTGGTTTCTAAATAGGGAGACAAGAGAATTTGAAGGATGCAAACACTTCCGTGCTCTCCTACCTCTGAAGACAGTGTCACAATCTTGAACGTCAAAAGATTAAATTGACAGATTTAAGAAAAGGGACTACAGGGCACGTATCGTTTCCAAGCTGCGCTTTTTGGGAATTTCCCTGAAGGTTCTGCAATTCCCCCACCCCGCCCTGACAGAGAGAGAGGAAAAATGAGCAGTTGGACATTATTTGAGGCTTTGCTTTCAGTCATCCTTCATTAAGTATTTATCCGGCATTTTGGAATTAGCGGCAGAGCGTGTCGAAGCACCCTCCTCGGACTCACAAAAAGCATGCCGATTTTACGAAAGAGTGCCCGCGGCAACATCGAAAAGTGGCAAGAACACAGAGGGATTGGAGTGGGGAGGAAACAGGTTGCAAAGGCCCCAGGACAAGGCTGATCCTTGCCCACCATCCAGAAAATAAAGTGGGATCATCTTCTTTGAAAATGCCATTCTCAAGCTGAGGATGCTGGCTGTACCTACAAAATTTAAGCTAAAGCAGAGTCCAACTAGTTAATATTTTGACAGGAGACACCAGGAAGTATCTGAGGTGCAACCTGGACATTCCCTGAGAAGACCTTGGCAAATGACTTCCATGTTCTTGCTATGAAACCTACATGGACAAGTCAAGTCACCTCAAGGGAGTATTTCTTTTTCTATGATAACTGGTTTTTACCTACCACGCCTTCACTTTCTCCTGGATTGTGACAAGTGGGTCAACCCAGAGTTCTCACTTGAGGCACAAATGACCAGGGTCAAATTATCCTACTTTGGACACATTATACAAAGACCTAACTGTCTGGAGAAGGCTTAGATGCTGGGAAAGGAGGAATGAGAGAGAAGAAGAGGACGGCCAGCAGCAAGATGGATGGACTGTACAGTGGCTACGGGGGCACCATGGGAAGACTTGAAGGACCTGGTTGGGGACAGATCCTTCTGGAGAAAATCTATCTATGTGGTCTCTAGCAGTCAACACTGACCTGATGGCATACAATCAATCCATACATCAATTTGTATCTGGGCAAGCCGTACAATTCCTAGAGAGGTTCCTAATGCTGGGAAAGGTGGAAGGAAAGAGAAGAGGATGACCAGCAGCAAGGTGGATGGACTCAGTGACAGTGACAATGGGGGCACCATTGGGAGACTTGAAAGAACAGGTTAAGGATAGATCATCATGGAGAAAATCTATCTATGTAGTCGCTAGGAGTCAAAAATGATGGCACTTAATCAATCAATCAAAAAGTGACAGGTGGGGGAAAATGTGAAAGGATGACCAACCTAAGCGTTAGATAGCTGGGAGCGAGAGGGGAAGCAAGACTGAATGGGGACCTGGTGTAATATTATTTTATGGGATCCTCATTCTTTCTCCAAGGATGACAATTTGGCAAACTTGATAAGCCAACAGTGACCCAGGAAACCTTGTTTAATCCTACGATTTGGCACTTCTTGGTTTATACGCCAGAATAAGCATTTTGGTTCTTTGACATTCTGTGCATGCAGGTGCAGGAAGGATAGATATTGAAAGAGCGTGGCTTTTAAAGGCACTGCTGCTCTATTGCCACTTATTCCTTTCTCGGGGGGAAAAGGGATGGTGCTCCTAGAGGCATAGCTTCAGGGAAGAGTTAAAAGCCATGATGAATGCAAACTTTGTCTTTCTTGGTCAGGCCAGAGTTGGAAATAGTCTGGAGTAAAAAGAGGTCCAATGCCATTAAACCTACTAGAGTACCAAAAAAAAATCAGAAACTGATGACGGGGAGCCACAAATACACCAGTAAAAAAAGGACTGGGTCAATTGTCAAGCAAAGGGTAGGAGAAACAGGGGTTTGATTCCATCATAATTATGGTGTTGACTTTCCTAGGGACCACCCTAACTCGTTTGGACTGAAAAGTATCTTAGATGTCTTTCTACGTTGGAGAAGACACCTGGGAATTCCATGGACAGCCAAGAATACAAACAAATGGGCCACAGAGCAAAGTGACCCAAAGTTCTTACTCAAGGCACAAATGACTAGGCTCAAGTTATCATACTTGACACATTTTGCAAAGACTTAACTCTTCAGAGAAGTCCATAATGTGGGAAAAGTGGAAAGAAAGAGAAGAAGAGGATGACCCACAGTAGAATGGATGGATGGACTCAATTGCAGCAGCAGTGGGTGCACTGTGGGAAGATCTGAAGGACCAGGTTGGGGACGGATCATTCTGGAGAAAATCTACTGTATCTATTTGGTCCCTAAGAGTCAACACCAACTTGGTGGCACAAAATCAGTCAATCAATCAGGATCTATCCAGACAAGCTATACAATCCCTAGAGAAGTCCATCATGTTGGGATAGGTGGAAGGAATTACAGCAGATGGGTGCACCATTGGAAGACCTGAAGGACCAGGCTGAGGACAGATCCTCCTGGAGAAAACCTATCTGTGGTTGCTAGGAGTCGACACTGACTTGATGGCACATAATCAATTGATCAATCAATCAATCAATTTCTACCCAGGCAATCCATACAATCCCCAGGGAAGTCTAAACAGGT